CTTGAAATTAAACTTTGATGGGTGTAGTAGGGGAAATCCGGGACAATCGGGGATTGGGGGTGTTTTTAGGGACGAAAATGGGGTCATCTCTGCCATGTTCTCAAGCCCAATTGGAGTGGGTGACTCCCTTAGAGCTGAGATCTTTGCAGTTATGGAAGGAGTCCAGAAAGCTAAGGAGTAACATCAAGAAACTCATAATTGAAGGGAATTCAAAGGTGGTGATAGGGTGGCTGACTAAAGATCAAAATGGTTTATGGAAGTACAATAATGAGAGGAGGAAATTCAAGTGGCTGGTGCAGGAGATGGAAGTTAAGACATGTTGGGTTAAAAGATCGGCTAATTCCCTATCTGACGGTTTAGCTAAACAAGGGGCAGAAAGGGATTCACTATTTTGGGCTAAGCTGTAACTTTAGTGTCCTCTTTTCTTTTTTCCTTTCATGAGGCTCTTTGTGGCTCTTGGAAGATAAGTGTGTTTGTCTTCCTCTTGTAAATTCTTTATTGATGATTTACTGATGATTTAATGAAAGTGTTATTGATCAAAAAAAAAAAAGGGTGCTATAAACTGAATCTTGATGGGAGTAATCAAGGCAATCTAGGACCTTTGGGTGTAGGAGGGATCTTGAGAAATAAGGATAGCAACCTTTTGTCCTCATCTTCAGGTCGAGTTTCTTTGTATTGGGCTACCTTATAATCGTATTCTGATAAGAGTTTGGTTTGATCTCTTTCCTAAGGGGAGGTAACACCTCGTGCCTTTTCTTAGGGAGATTGTACTCTTTCTTACTCTAATTAATAAAATCACCATTCATTCATAAAAAAATAAAAATAATAAAAAAATCAGGTTGTAGATGTGCAAGTTAGAAACAAATATCAAATAGAAAGAAGAGAAGAGTTGGAAGTAAGATGAGAATCCTAGGCAATCACACCTAAGTATGAAGGCAATCCCATCCTAAACTTGGCAACCACACCAAATATGTCTTAACTTGCACCACAAACCACTTACAAAAGAAGCTAAATTAGATAAAACCTGCCCTCAAACAAACAAACATAAAGCCAAACAAAGGAAAATTAATGGGTTGAGACCTGTCCCCTAACATACCCCCCCCGTCAAAATTACAAAAATGCCCTTGCTGTCAAGAAATGTAAGAAAGCCAAATAAGCCCTAAGCAATCTATCTCAACCACAAAAAGAGTATCTTACGGTGGACTGAAGATTTTAGGATCTTCCCAAGTTGATTCCACTGCTAACCCAGCTCCCATGTGGGCCTACATCACTGTAATGATGCCAAAGAAGAATAGGAGTAGCTTTGGTTCTCTTGGTACACCTTAAGTTGATTCTCATCACTTGTACTGATGTGTTTCTGATTTAACATTAGTTGCTTGACGTCTTAATCTTTTAACAAAAATGTTACGACAAGAAAGAGCTTATTCTGGGCAGCTAGCTATTTAGGCTGAAATTTGTTCCTTAAATATGGGTGGAGAGAGAAACACAAAGAGGAATCCAAACTGATTTTCCATGTAGAAAATTATTGGGTAATTTAGGGAGCTCCTTTAAAATAACTAGACTAGAAAACCCATTAACCATACACATACAAGCATACAGGCATTAAAAATTAAATTTTCCCTTTCAATATCTTTTGGCAGCTCCACAAAATAAACCATTTATGGGAATCATCCAACTTCACAGCCCAGCAACAGTTGACAAAAAAGTAGGAATTATTTCTGTTAAATACTAAATAGTATTACATTTTATTCTTTTCCACCCTATGTAGGGAAAAGAAAAGCATGGTGATGTTAAGCAAACAACTGAAAAATGTGTTCTTTGTCAATATTTTGAATACCAATACATGGATGTGGTCTCAAATAGAATGAAATGGAAAAAACAAGATTTGTGTATATGACTCTATGTGGTTGGGATAAAACTTTTTTGAGTTTAGTTGTTTATACTTTTTGTTGATTTAATCAGACAATCAACATATAAGAAAGTGAAGCAACAGTGAACAGTAAAAGAGTGAATACTATATACTGACCTTCCTCCTGGTCTTATATATGCATCCCATGTTTTCCTCACCTGTATGTGAAAAGAGAATCACCTTTAATTCAAACAAAGAAAAACTTTGGTATTGACCTCCAGGTTTCCATAGATGTGTCTAAGAAGATGCAGGATCTCTATAAAATAAAACAGAACAGAACAAACAAGAGTGGTGCTATGCAATTCTCAGTAATTAAAGGTTTTAAAATACAGATTAATTATGGGAGTTTCTTTTGTGATACATAAGATTATTTGCATGGATAAAAAAACCTCAAGTCAAGAGAAAGGCTGCTTATAAGGGGCAGATGCTGTTATGCCTGTTAGCTATCCAACATAGACTATTTGTAATGGCTGGTAGCCCAAAGACACATCAAGTAGGCAATCCTGTTTGCCCTGTAATGAACCTTTGAGCAGAAAATTGGAATGATTTTATTGGACATCTAAAGGCTGATCCAATGTTACTCTCTCTAGAGTCTCTCTTTTAGCCAAGACCTTCCAAGAGATGATCATAGATTGGTTGGTACATGCGGTGCTTCCTAACAATAATGGGGCATCCCTACCAAAAAAAATGCAAAGCTTGGTATGAACTAGTAGAAATTACCTCAATAAGAGTGCCCATGTCAGTGTTGCCGCCATGGTAATAGTGATAGAACTCAACTGGTAAGTTGGCTATAGAATCATAGGTCCTGCCAAAACCCTGTCCTTCCGACACTTGTTCATCAGACTCACGTTGCTGGTCTCTAGCTGCACCAGGGCCTCCTTCACTTGCAGTCTCAATGAGGGAATCCTGACTTTCCATACCCCCACCTTGACTATTACTGACATCTCTAGGGTCAGACCTACTGCTCTGGATGATTCTCCTAGATTCCTCAGCTGTTGCAATGGCATCCCTTGCAGCATCTGTCTCAGCAGCAGCAGCTGCTTGGCGTTCCTCTTCCTCAACTGCAGATCTGACTCTCTCAATAAATTTGTCATCCTCTTCTGGGAGAAAATGCCCTGCAATGATAAAATCAATCATATCCAGAGAAACACAGTGTCAATATTCTAAAAGCATGCGAACCTTATGCCTTCAGCCTTGCCTCAAAGCAAGGCTTAAGGAAAACAATACTGAGGCTCAACCAATGCGTAGAAGTATAATAAACATGTATCACGCTTCCGAGTGCTGATGTCAAGAATATATTCACACATTAACTGATGTAGAGCTCTCATCATAAAAACGAACTAAAGACCAATTCTAAGATTTTGTGTGTGTTTCTATTTGCATAAACATTTAGGGTTTTCAACAGCTATTCGAGGTTTCAATTTACACAAAAGCTTTCTGATCATCCAGAAGGATTCAAATTTATATGATAATTAATCCATCTTTCTTATTTACAAATGCAGTCCTTTTTTAGTTCTATACATTTCTCTCATTTTAATTCATGTTTTTCCTGAGAAAATGATATCTCATGAAGCTTCAGCTTCACACCTTGAGGGTTATACTTCATACATTAGAAGATCTTAACACCTTGCATCACAGCTCCATGCTTTAAAACATTGCATAGTGTTTTCAATGGTTTATGATGTTGCAATTACATCTTTACTTCCAATGGATATGATTCTACAAAGAACCAAGCACTGGAAGTATGTGTGTCACTTTGAAATTTGATGAGGACAAAAAGGCTAATTATATCCCTCTTGTCATTTACATGCTAGAATAAATCTTAGCAAAGTTTAGCTCTTGTTAGCAGTGCATAAATGGTGAACTTGGATGATGTAGCTTTATGCTAAAATGATGTGTTCTGATTCTAATTTTCTCATTCTATAGACTTTTCCCCTTTTACCCTGGAGGATTGATAGAATGTAATGAGGATGCACTGCCATAGTTGTAGTCCCTTTAAAGTGAGACATAAGCTTTCCATGAAACAGTGTTAATACAAGGACCGAGAAGTTAGCCTGAGCCCAATGTATTGAATAAATCCCCTACTTGAAAAATTGCAATGAGAAGGCAATTATTTTGGGGATCTGTCCTCACGGGGAAATGAGTCTATGTAGAGCTTGCTTTGGGTACTGAGAATCTGTAAAGATTAGGTTTGAGCAGACGGAAGAAAGATTTAAAGAAGGAAGAAACAGAGAATTGGCCATTAGAATTCAAAACCCACACCCTCTCATCCACCCCATTTACACTCAGGGACACATTTTTTAAGCTCTCAAGAAAGTTGACCAACTCTTCAATTTCATGTTCCCCTTTTCAGTCCAAAATTCCAAGCAATATTGGATCCATTAACAGAAGCTAGATTGGCAATAGATTTGTTTTTGAAACTAAAGATAATGAAAGTTACTGTTTCCTATAAAAAAAATACATTTGTTTTTGAAACAAGAGAGGTTAAAAATTCTAGGAAACTTTTGGCTAAGTGGAGTTTCCCCCCACCAAAGGTCCTCTCAGAACTTTACCTTTGTACCAGAAATTGGGTCATATCTAACATGTTGAGAAAAGTAGGGAGCAAAAACAAGATTTCCTTGCAAGTTCTAAGTACTTCTGGAGTTGGTATTTCTGGGTGGACCAGAATCCCAACCTTCTGTGTGCAAATCATAAATACTCTTGATGACCAAATGCCACAGTGCCTCAGTCTCTTTTGGAAACCTACAGAGCCATCTCCCCAGCAATACCAAATTCTCCTCTCTCAAATTCCCTAGTCCTCCTTGCTCCTAAACCATACTCACCTTTTCCCACCTAGTCAGGTGACTTTCCAATCATGCCCTGAGTCCCACAAAAAATCTCTAATAATCTTTTCCATCCTCTTCACCACCTTCATTGGAGCTTTCAAGATCAAGAGAAAATAAATTAAAAGGTTTGACAAGGTAGATTTAATGAAAGTTAACCTTCCACCCTGGGAGTAGTTTTTCTCCATATTCCCAACTTCTTAGCAAATCTCTCGATAACCCTCTCCCAAAAAGGTAGTTTCCTCCCAAAGGTAAGGCCAATCACCAACTCCACCATCTCCAACACCCTCTTTAGTACTCTTACATCTTGTACTTCCCTAAATTCCCCCAAAATAATCGTGTCATCAGCAAATTGCAAATGTGAGACCACTTGTTCTCTTCCCATCCCAAACCCTATAAACAGATTTCCCATCTGCTCTCTTTATTAATTTGCTCAAAACTTCCACCACCAAGATGAACAACATTGGGGATAAAGGATCTCCTCGCCTTAAACCTCTTGGTGCTTTAAAAAATCTTTTAGGGGTACCATTGGTTAAGATAGAAAAATGGGTTGTTCTCGAACACCCCATCATCCATTTTATCCACCAAGATTTCTTAATCCGCTTTTTGTGGATCCAACTTGTACAAAAAGTCTTTCTTTCCCAATTTCCTAAAGTCTTCCACTGCCTTATTTGCAATCAAAATCTGATCCAAATTTTGGCGATTCCCCACAAATGCTCCTTGTTCTTGAGATGCCACATGGTGAAGAATTTTTTGAGCCTAGCAAATAAGACTGGCCACTAGTATGAGGAAATTCAATGAATTTATCAACTTTTGTGAGCTGAAGGAGATTCCTCTTTCGCAAGCCAATTTTACATGGTCCAACTTTCAAGAAAACCCAACCTGTTCGAAGTTAGATAGATTCTTGTTCAATGAAGCATGGGAGAATCATTTAAGGGGCTTGATGGCTAAAGGGTTACCTAGAGTTACTTCGGATCATTGCCCTATTTAGTTAGGAGAGGAACCATTAGATTTTGGACCTAGACCCTTTAGATTTGAGAATATGTGGTTGTCTCACCCAAACTTTGTAAAAAAATGTTGAGAATTGGTGGACTGAAGAGATAAGGGGGGTGAAGTGGAAAGGAGTTAGATTTCATAAGAAGCTAAGAAATTTGAGGACAAAATTAAAAGCCTGGAACAGGAACCATTTTGGGAGAATAGAGGATTCAAAATCTTCGTTGTTAACTCAGATTGAAGAATTAGATAAGAAGGAATCCCAAAAGACTATGAATGCTCAGAAGCAAGAGTTGAAATGGAAACTAAAAAAGGAATTATAAGGGTCTTGTTGCGAGAAGAGATATTTTGGAGGTAAAAATCAAGGGTCAAATGGATCTAAGAAGGAGATGGGAACACAAAGTATTTTCATGCGATGGCCAAAAACTTTGTAGCACAACTTGAGATTGATGGAGAGAAATTTTCCTCTCAAGAAGAGATAGCTAGATGCTTTGAAGATCACTTCAAGTCAATTCTTAGAAGACCTCTTGATTGTATGGTGGAAGTGGATGGTCTAGACTAGTCAAATATTTCCGAGGGAGAGGGGATGGTTGGAAAGAAACTTTGAGGAGGAGGAGATCAGACAAGCAATTTTTTTAATGGATAGATCTAAGGCTATCGGGCCAGACGGATTTACGATGGCCTTTTTTCAAGATTGTTTTTTTTTTTTGATGAATAATAATAAGTTTATTGATTCAGAAGCAACTTTAGAGTGAGTTCATACATCATCCCAATGGGAGGCACGAGCTGCAGCCCCTCCTTGAGTCTTACAAGTAAACTAGGAAAGAAAAACAATAATCACAACTGAGCCCAAAATAATTCTTCCCTATTTACCCCTTGCTTAGCTAACACATCTGACAAAGTATTTGCTGATCTCCCCACCCACTGTACAGTGACCAACATATTCCTTGTCAACCAACTAAATTTCTTCATTTCATTCTTGTATCACCACATAGCCTCTTCAGAATTTTTTAACCAACCCACCACCACTTTGGAATCCCCCTCGATTATTAGGTGTTGTACCCCCATCTGGTTTGCAAATTGCACCCGTTGTACAACAGCTAAGAGTTCTGCCCTGATGGAGTTCCCAATTCCCAAGGGACCAGAGTAGAGCAACAAAATCTCTCCCTTCTCATTTCTCAAGATTGTTGGGACATAGTTAAAAATGATCTATTTGAGGTATTCAGGGAGTTTGAGGATAATTCTATTGTTAGCCCTGGAGTTAATGCTACTTTTGTAGCTCTTGTTCCCAAGAAGGTTGTCGCTAAACATCCTAAGGACTTCAGACCAATTAACTTGGTGACTAGTGTTTACAAAATTTTGGCGAAGGTTTTATAATTGAGGATCAAAGTGGTACTCCCCTCTCTAATTAGTCAAGCTCAAGGTGCTTTTGTACAAAGCAAACAAATAGTAGATCAGATTTTGATAGCTAATGAACGTGTGGAGGAAATGAAGAGATTAGGTAAAAAAGGCTTTGTCTGCAAATTGGATCTCGAAAAAGCCTATGATTTGGTGGACTGAAGTTTCCTCTTAGAGGTGCTAAGTAAGTGTGGGTTTGGGGAATGATGGTGCAAGTGGATTAAGGATTGTCTCACTTCTTGCCATTATTCCATCATTGTCAAAGGAGAAGTTAAGGATTTCTTCCCAACATGTAGGATCCTGAGACAAGGTGATCCTCTCTCCCCCTTTCTATTCACTCTTGTTGTTGATGCGTTAAGTAGATTGATCTCAAAGGCAGATAGGGAAGGGATAGTGCGTGGTTGGAGAATAGGGAGAAATAGTTTGCCCGCTACTCACCTTCAATTTGCGGATGATACTATAATCTTTTGTAAAGGTAGCGATTTTAGGAGGGTTAGGAACCTTAAGAACTTAATAAATTTCTTTGAAAAGGCCTCAAATCTGAAAATCAACTTTGAAAAAAGTTGTGGTTGGAGTCATTATGGATGGTCAAGAATTGGAGGCTATTGCAGATTGCTTAGAGTGCTCCACCTCGTCTTGGCCCTTAGCTAGGTCTTCCCCTAGGAGCTAACCCAAAGGAGAGCCGCTTCTAGAACCCCATTGTGGAAAAGTTTGGAAAGTTGTCTCGCTGGAAAAAGAATTATATCTCTATGGGGGGTAGAGTGACTTTGATCAAATACACACTTGCTAATTTGCCGATTTACTTTTTGTCTGTCTTTAAGATTCCTACTAGGGAAGCTAAAAAGATAGAGAAGATGATGAGGGATTTCTTGTGGGAGCCGAGGCAAGAGAAGAAAGATCAT